CACCAATGCCTATAAAAGACTTGGGCCCAGTAGAAATACAGTCATTCATCTCCTGACCTCATGTGCAATGGAAAATAAATCTCATGTGGTTGTCATGGACCGGTTCTACAACTCTGTAACCCTTGCTAAATATGCACTGTCAGAATTACACACAGGAATTGTGGGAACCCTACAGCAAAATGGGAAAAGTTTTCTAAGTTGCTGAAAAGTATAACAAAATTTACTAGGGTGACAGTTGCTATCTATGTCAAGAAAGTGTAACATATTTAGTTTGGAAGGATAGAAAGCCCATTTATTTCGAACTACCACAATCCAGCCCAAAATGTAGTAATAAACAGAAGAAATACAGATGCCACAGCTGGTGAAGGACTATCATAAATATATGGGTGGCTGTGACAAAAATGACCAGATTATCCACCTTCACCGGTCTCGTCATTACTGCTGGCCCCGGTGGCTTTTCATAAAATTTTTTATCTGGGCCAGTTATAATTCTTTTATCTTGTATGCTTCAAAGCAGCAAGCTGCTTCAAAAATACCAGTTTATTTCACCAGATATATTCAGAAACTGTGCCTGCAACTTATTGGTGGGTACAGGACACCAGCCCACAGCCACCCACAAAAGGAACCCTCCCTCAATGGATGACCCCAGCCAATCATTTTCCAGAGATTCTCCCTGAGACATCGTCTGATCATATCTGTGTTGTGTGCATGGCAAAGCAGTCCAGGTACAACAAGCAAAATCCTGGAGTGTCCTACAAAGACAATCCATGCAAGAAGGTGAAGAGCAACATATGGTGTTCACTTTGCAAGAAGTACCTCTGCAACTGACCAAGTGACCATGAAGAGGAGCTGTCTGGGCTCCTTTTTAGCTGCTGTTCCTCTTCAGCTCCAACCACATTGCTGTGTGATCATCTCAATTGGTTTTAATTGAGGCAGAAACTGAAGCTCTACCAATGAACTGTTTAAAAACAAGACACTTTTGTATTAAAATTGCTTGCAGTAACTAAAAAAAAACAAAAAGAAAAAAAAAAATGGTACCTCTGTGTGAAACAAGGCTCATCCTGCTGGGTGGATTGGCCACAAAGGTGGAATATTGGCGCTAGATGAAAGGTAGACCCGTTTTCTACGATGTCTCCAAATTCCATCTTATTCTAACCACTTGTTTGCATGTAACATTTTTCTGTATCATATTGATTTTTTCTCTTTAATGCTCAGGAGCCCGGGTGTAGGGGGCAGTTAGGTTAAGGCCTAAGGTCTGTTAGGGTTAATATTGGGTGATCTTAATTGACCTTTCTTAAAGTCTGCCGATTCTTTCTTCTCACTGCTCATTCTGTTGTTGAACCCCTCCAGTGAATTATTAGTTTCAGTTATTGTATTTTTAAACTGCAGAATTTGTTTCCTTTTTACAATTTCAATTTTTATTGAGATTCTCTTATTTGATGAGATATTGTTTTTCTGATATCCTTTACCTCTTTGTCCATGATTTCATTTAGCTCTTGCAACATCTTTAAAAGGGTTCATGGTAAAACTTTGTCTAATAAGAACAATATATGTGTTCTTCATCAGAGTTTCTACTAATGTATTTCCTATGTATGGACCGTACTTTCTCCTTTTTATGTCTGCCTTGTAATTTTTTTGTTGAAAACTGACATTTAAATTATTATACTGTGGCAAGTATGGAAATTAGATTTTCATGCTCCCTAGAGTTTGTTGCTGCTCATTATGGTTGCTGTTGTGTTTACTAAATTTTCTAAAATAATTTTGTAAACTCTCTATTATTGTGTGTGGCCATTGAAGTCTGTTTTGTTGGCTTAGTGGCCAGCTAGTGATTCATCTGAGATTACCTTAAATGCCTAGAACCAAAAAATAAAAATTCCAATCTTTGACAGTGGGTTCTATGTATTGGGCAATCTAAAATCTACCTTATTTCCTATTTGAGCAGAGCCTGAAAGTTAGCCAGAGGTGAGTTATGTAGGGCCTTTTCAGGTCTTTTCTGAACATTTGCCTCACCCTGGGCATGCATGTGTCCTTTCAGATTCCCAGGAATGTGTGAGAATTTTTAAAAGGCTTTATTCTCCAAAGTACCACATACTTTAGTCTTCCCTCCCAGGCTTTTTGTTGTGTCTTTTGTTTGCTTTAATTGGTACTTCTCTCCACAGGTGGCAGCAATTAATAACTTCCCTTTTAAAAAGTTTTTTTTACAAATGCCCCTGGGTAGTTTGCCTGTGTCTCAGGGGAATTCTGAGTTAGGCAAAATAAGAACTAGCTCTTTGCACCAGTCCTTCAGAGAGCCACCAGACATGTCAAAACTAACTATCACAATTCTTTGAGGACAAGATCCACTCTGCTCTATCTGGCAACAGGAATCTAAATTAGAAATGCAGATTGTGGTCTTCAAAATTGTCACTGAATTGGAGATCGTGAAATGGGGCAACAATAAGTTTAAATCGGCAACCTACGGCTCCAGAGCTGCATGCGGCTCTTTTGAAGCTTTACCACAGCCCCGACAACTTGCAAGCCTGTGTGAAAATGAAGGTAATGTCTTACAGCCCTGATGTGCTGACACTGTGCACTGAGGTTCAGGAGCAAAAATCCCATTAACCAGGTAAATTAAATATTTTAATTAGCTATTAATTTGCAAAAATATATTTTACATTGTTAAGTGAAAAAGTCCTTTTTTTTCTTCAGATTGACAGCTAACTGCATGATCCGGTATATAGCATTAAGGTAAGAAACAATATATGCAGTGTTTTAAATGTCGCAATGGTTTTGCGGCTCCCAGGTTTTTTTTTCCTTTGGAAATGGGTCCAAGTGGCTCTTTATGTCTTAAAGGTTGCAGACTCCTGGTTTAAGGTATAGTACCCAATCTTGGCTGCACTTTAGTGTCTATCACTTGGAGGAACCTTATGTTCCTATAATCTCCTCTTCTGTCTTCAAAGTATTTGTTACAAGTGTTAAAATTACACTTAAGACAAATAAAGTTATGTATCTTATTCAATAAATTGTTATCTCAGAGTCCTTTGCTCATATCTCTTCAATAGGTCCTGCAATTATGTAACTTCTTGGAAACGAAATAAATCAGTTACTTTTTTGTAATTTTTTGGAAGGATCTTGTTTCCTCTGATTTATTATCTTGCTTTTATCTTCTATGAATAGTTGTATATTTACTTCATGTGTATTACAATTCTTTTAAAAATATTTTTTAAATTGATTTCAGAGAGGAAACGGGGAGTGTGACAGAAACATGAGGGATTCATTTGATTGGCTGCCTCCTGAACGCCCTCTACTGGGGATAAAGGCCGCAACCCAGGCATGATCTCCAGGTTCGTAGGTCACAAACACTGAGCCACACTGGTTACAATCCTTTTATTTAATTACAGTTGCAAAAGGAGTTTAAGAGCAGGAAAAAAAATCACCTGAATACTACCACCCTCAAATAAAGCTTAATTTTTGTGTGTACTTGACTTCTTTCCTCCCTATAGTATTGCCTTGTGCCTGTAACAGTCTGTAAAATTCAATTTGTACCAACTTCATTTAACCCAACCTAGGCTTCGATTCACACTCCGAGCCTCCAAATGACAGGAAAAAAGTGGGAATTAAAAAAAAGAAAAAAGAAAGAAAGGTGGATTGGGCACAGCTGAGACTGAAACACCTTAACCAAGGATGATTGGGTTCAACACTTTCCCCCTGTTACCCGTTCCCTGAAGCTCCAGGCTCGTCCAGGTTTGAATTCACTGCCCCAGCGGCGGGCCCTGCTCCGTCTCAGAGCCTCCACCGTACATCTCGCAGGCACACGGCCTCGTCGTCGTCTCCACAATGTCCCCCAACCCTCCCCTGGTCGCTCCTCACTGGGAGAGCTCGCTTCTGAGGATGTGACCTACTTCCAACGAGCGGCGCGGGATCTCGGCCGGCCCAGCCCTCCCCGCCCTCCCCGCCCGCCGCAGGCCGCGGGCGCGGTAAGCGTCCGGGTGGAGGCCGGAGCCCAGGCCCGGCTCCCGGCGAAGGGCCCGCGGGAGCAGCCGCGCGTCCCCCGCCTCCCCGAGGCCAGCTCCCGTCGCCGCTCACGGAGGAAATCCAGGGGGACGGTCCGACCGTCGCCCACGGAGGGCTCGGCGAGCAGCCCGCCCAGCCCGGAGGGGCGGGAGCCGTGGCCCGAGCGCTCCCCCCGGGGCGCCCTCCCCCTCCTCCGCCCCCGCCTCGGCGCACGCGCAGTAGCTCCGCCGCCCGTACTTAGTCCGAGATGGCTTCCCTCGCGCCCCACCGTCCTCCTCCCGAAGGCGGCTCCCTCCCCGCGCACCCCGGGGCCTCTGGAACCAGCCTGAAGCGGGTCCCCAGGCAGGACGCTCCTTAAACTGGAAGAGCAGCGGCCGGGCGTGCGCGTGAAGGAGAAGCAGCGGCAACCGGAAAGAACTGCGGGCTCTCCCGGCGGCGAGCCAGGCCTCAGAGGAAGAGGAACACCGGAGCGAGCCGAGGTTTGCCGAAGGCGGCCTTCCGGAACTGCGCGGGGAGGGAGGGCTGAGGGCGGAGAGGAGGGGCGCGGCGGAAACTGCCGAGGTTTGCCGAAGGCCGCAGCCTCGGAGTTGCCCGGATGTAGTTGGTGGAGCGGCGGCGGCGGCACCGGTGGCGGCGACGACAGGCGAAGGCGAAGGCGAAGGGAAAGGCGGCGGCAGGGGGAGAGGAGGGCGAGAGGCAGCGGCGCTAGAGGCAGTGAAGGCGGAGGAGGCAGTCGCTCCCCGCGGGGCCGTGCAGGACGCGTCTTGTCGCCCTCCTCCCCCCGGCTCGCCGCTTCCGCCGTGTAGGTGGCGCCTCTCTCCCGGCGGAGAGTGAGCGTGGTGTTGTCGGAGGGAGATGGCCCGGGAGCGCCGGCGCCAGTAACGGGGAGGTGCTGAGAGTCGCCCAGGGCGCGCCGGACTCCGGGGCCGGTGCTGCCGCCCGCCCGCCCGCCCGCCTCTCGCGGCTGCTCCCCCCTCCCCCGACACACACTCACAGGTCGTGCATTGATGGTAATGTATGCGAGGAAACAGCAGAGACTCAGTGATGGGTAAATTGGCTTTCGTTTCGGTCTGGGCCGCGGCGGAGGCGGGGGTGGCGGCGGGGAGGGGGGGGCTGTTCCTCCTTATCTGCTGCTGGCTGGGCCGCCATTTTTGTTGTTAACCCTGCTCCGGAGCGGCCGGGGAGGAGGCGCGGCCGCGCGAGCCGGCGAGGCCGGAGGGAGCGCGGAGGGGCGCAGGGCCGGTCCGCGGCGCTCGGCCGCCGGCTCCGCCGGTAAAAGGGCGAGTGCGCGAGTGCGGGCCCGCCGCCGGCGCCTTTGGTGGGTCCCCTGCAGGGAGGGGTTCTGGGAGGGGGGGCACTCGTTTTCTTCCTTCTCCTCGAGATACTTAATGTCGCCGACTCTCTTCCTGTTTTTCAGCTGTCACGACCGGAGGGGGGACTCGCAGCCTTACCAGGTACCAGCCGAGGCCGGGGCGGAGGGGTGGATGCGGGGCGGAGGGGGAAGGGAGGACTTGGTACTCGAGCTCAGGCTTCGTAAGTCGCTACAGGCCCTTCGGTGCAACAAATTCTAAACTAGCACCGCTGCTCCCCTTCAAATGCTGTGTTTGGGCCCTCGAGCGCTTTCCAGCAAGGTTTAGTGACTCATTTTGACAGGTGGGTTAAGGAAGTTCAGGGTTTTATTTTTAAGGAAAATAGCATGCTCAGCCAGAAAGGACCTGACTCGATTATTTGGATGGGAAAGAATCGGTGGGTTGAGGTGATAGGTGCCTTCTCAACCACTTGTATTGTATTTTGGAAATAAAAGTTAATGTTAAGGTAGTAAAATTAGATGGAAGGGTTGGGAAGAAACAACTAATTGTTTTGCAACTCTTAATTGTGTTGTAAACCACTGTCTCTTCCCAACTTAATAGTTTTTTGTTGCAAATAGTTGCCTTACTAGGGAGAGATAGTGCTTTTGGTTCTGTAGGAATTGAGATCTGTGGATACTTGGATAACTTATTCTAATGTTGATAGTTCTAGGTATGTAGGGTCCTATTTGTTACTGCAGTTCCTGCTGTAAAGTTTTTTTAAAAAATTATACAGGTGGTGCCTGTTTTCAGCGGGGAAAAAAAAAATCATGAATTGTTGACCATCAGATGATACTGGAAGTGTCTTTTTAAGTCTAATTACTTCAAAGGTAGAAGAGCAATTTTCTAAGCTGATAGTTCGGTTAACTGGCTGTCACTAAAGCTCAAATAAAAACCCTAAGTCCCCTGATGTGTAAACCATTGCTCATTACATTTGGATATCAAAGATTAAACCCTGAGTCTGCTTCTCTAAACATAATTACTTACACCTTGTAAAAGACTGGTCTATCAAGGTTGTCCTAAATATGCATTAGGATAAAATTAAACCATTATTTTGAAGGCGTTCCATTACATTTCATTATGTTAGAAATATCAGCCAACTACTTTTTTTTTTTTTTTTACCTTGAATTGTTTCCCATACCTGTCAGAGTAGATAAAGTAGGATTGAAATGCTTTTTTGAGTCAGAATTGGAGAAAGTGATGCTTTCTCTCTTTTTTTGTAGCTTTGTGAAAGCGTGCTTAAGCTCCTTACATTTTTGTCTTTGCATCAGTTATCGAGCAGAAATTGGTTATAATAGTACTCAATTTCTACTTTTCTTTAACTTAATTCCCAGAAAATTTTATTGAGGAATTAATGTGTCAAGGTGTATGATTTCATTTATTTATAAGATACTTTATGGACTAGAGTTTTCTTTCTTTTTTTAGAATAAGGTATTATGATTTATATGAGGACCTTTATAATAACTCTTAGGCATATATTTAGGCCTTGACAGGATAACTTAAGAACATAATCGAAGATGAAATTTTAATTTTATTGATATAAATTACTAAAACTTAGTGAAGTTAAAACACCAAGTTTTATAATAAAATGAATTTAGGAAGCTATGTTTGAAGTTTCAACTTTCCGTCTCTTTTTTGGGGGGTGATGTTTTACAGGCACTTAAGTATTCATCGAAGAGTCACCCCAGTAGTGGTGATCACAGACATGAGAAAATGCGAGACGCCGCAGATCCTTCACCACCAAATAAAATGTTGCGGAGATCTGATAGTCCTGAAAACAAATACAGTGACAGCACAGGTCACAATAAGGCCAAAAATGTGCATATTCACAGAGTTAGAGAGAGGGATGGTGGTAAGTAGCTTTTTTGTTGAAACCTTCACATATATATTTTTAACAATTGCTCAGTGTAAAATAATAGGTGGCAATATTTCTAGTTTACAGATATTGCTGTATGGGTGTCATGAAAATTTTTTATTTCTATTTATTTGGTTCCTGAACTGGTTACATAGAAATGAGATGCTGACAGGAGCATCTAAAAATGGATTCCAACAGCTGATAATAAGAGAATGCATTTATGAATATAGTCTACCTAATGCATTATTAACTGAGGGAAATTCAAGACATTTTCCAAAAAAGAAGCTTTAACTTAAGTAAAGAATCTTGTTGCTGCTTGAATCTTTTTTTTAAAGGCTCCAAATGTGTTTCCTAATAATAAATTATGAATTTAAAATAGGTATTTGGAGACAGTTTACAGATTTAAAAAAAAAAAAAATCTGATTCTGAGAATTACTTTTTTTTTTTTTGTAAACATTTAAAATATTCCATATTTTCCTGGATCTTATTGATGTATTTGCTATACTGTGTTTAGTCAATTTTTTTAAAACCTCATTTTTTTTTGTATAAAGGTAGTACCCTTCAGTTATTACCTTGTCTTCAGCTCTTTGTGGTAGGAGGTTGAGAAAAGGAACTATTTTCAGACTTAATTTTCCTAAATTTACCAAAATACAGGTTTCATGTCTAAAGCATGGATTGAGGAACAAACCAATTTCACTAAGATAATTAAGACATCTATATATTTCCTCACTATAAGATCTTATGTCACTTAATGTTTGAGATGAATATACAAAATTGATTGTGCTTTTAAAAGCTAAGGAAACTCAGTAGAGTGCCCTATGACTTTCTGCCTCTGACTGTCAACTAGCTTCTCATACTTTGCTTACTTTTAAAAAATGTTCTGGCCCAGCCTGATTGGCTCATTGGATAGAGAGCCAGCCTGAGAACTGAAGGATTATGGGTTTGATTCTGGTCAAGGGATGTACCTCAGATGCAGGCTCAATCCCAGGTTCTCATCCAGCATGCAGGAGGCAACCAATCGATGTGTCTCTCACATCAATGTTTCTCTCTGTTTCTCTCCCTCCCTTCTACTCTCTACAACTCAATGGAAAAATACCCTCAGGTGAGCATTAACAAGAAAAATATTCTGCCTCTTCTGATTCTGTCTTATGTCTCGTAGGATAGGTATCAGTTTTACTCAGTGTGATCAAATATTGAAAAACATTGGCCTTCTCTGTACATAATTATTGGGTTGGAATTAATATGTTTCAATGATAAGGAATAGAAAGTCTATATCTCTGTTAAATACAGTTATAGCTTAAGCAGATAAACGATATTTTGTTTGAAAGAAACATAAGGTGGGTTTGGTTATTAAAGTATTCAGAGTTCTTTGATGTCTTAGATACTATTACACTATTAATATTTTCAGTTTTGTGGATAAATTTTCTATAGTGTTTTGTATAGTCTAAGATACTATTATCAATCATTCTTCTATAGCAGTTTTCATTTCAAACTTTAGCTCTTAGAAGGCTTGTACTATTTGTACTGTATTATGCTTCATGTTTAAAATTTGGTGACTGATAAAATAGGATGTAGGTTCTCTTTTAGTGATTCTGATCTGGTTATTCTGTCTATTCTTAAATTGAGGAGGAAGAAGATAGTTTAGGTGCTATAGGGAGCTTGATGTACATTTGCAGTGAATCACGCTTGATAGATCTTTCACAAATTAAAAACATTCTGTTGCTTATTTATTCAGCAACCATTGGGCATCCACTGTGTGCCAGTAATGGTGTGGTATTCCTGGAAGTTAAAGATAAGATGTGATTCTGCCCTTGAAGCTAAAGACTTTACTTGAGAGTTAGTGTTGTAGCTGCATACTTTTTGATTCCTATTTTCTTCATTTTGATTGTAATTGAGAGTTAGTAAAATAGCTGCTGACTTTTTCTTCATTCCTGTTTTTATTTAATTTTACTTCCTTTGTGAATTCCAGATACCTCTTGTTGGCTTTTAGTTTCCTTTTTATTTGTATCTGTTTACTAATTTTTCTTAGTTCCATTTGTAAGAAACTTCTTTCTTATTTTTCTGGTTTAGTCATTTGCTGAGTTAGGCTTCACATTCTAACTTGCTTTTTAGCTGCTTGTCTGTCTTCTTGTGGAGCCTGTTAACTAATACTATAACTCCATCCCTATTTGTACAATCTGAAGTACTTGGCTGCCATATTCCTTTAAATACCATAAAGTAGGATTTCTTCATTCAGAAGTTGAGAGTCATCTTTCTTAATTCTCTCTTTTAAAGATGTAAAGTGGTGATTTTTCTCTCATATAATACTTAGTCATTGTAGTTTAGATTCCAGGTGTTTTATTGCTAATAAGTGTTTGAAACAAAACTTTTTAAAAAGTGTGTATACTTAATTTTATTATAGGCATTTCTATTTCCTTAGGTTTTTATCTTTAAATATTAATTGGAATATATATACACATTCATATATGTGTATGTGTGTACACACATATATATCTATATCTATATATACTCAACTATATAAAGTCAAAGTCTTTATCCTAAGGCAAATGCAAGTATGTTGGATTATCTATGCTCTCAGCCTGTATAAGTAACAATGTAAGAATAGGTTACTATTTTGTTTATTGACGTGATTTCAGATTTGTTACTTTTTTAATTTTAGGAATTAAACAATCTAATGACTTTAGTAAATGTAATAATTTAAGAGCCTATGTACTATGATTTGTAATTTGCATTTTACAAGGGGAGTTAAATGTATCTTTTTTTGTTTCATTTTGTTAATCCTCATTCATATTTTTTCCATTGCTTTTTCCCCCTTTATTTTCTTTATTTTTTTAATATAGTTTTATTGATTTCAGAGAGGAAGGGGAAGAGAGATGGAAATGTCAATGATGAAAGAGAATCATTGATTGGTTGCCTCCTGCACGCCCCTTACTGTGGTTCGAGCCAGCAAGCCCTGGCATGTGCCCTTGACCTGAATTGAACCTGAGACCCTTTAGTCTGTAGGCCAACTCTTTATCCACTGAGCCAGACCTACTAGGGCTCCATTGCTTTTATTTTATTTATTTATTTTTTTTGAGAAAAACACCAACATGTCTGATGTGAAAGAGACACATCGATTGATTACCTTCACACCCACCCAGACCTCAACTGTGTGGAAACTGCCCTCGACTAGAAATTGAACCTGCAATCCTTCAGTGCATGAGCCAGCTGAGTCTCTATCTTTTAGCCACACCAGCTGGGGCTATATCTGCTGTTTTTCATGGCACCTTGGATTTCTTCGAAATTACACTTTAGAAGTAATTACACTTTAGAAGTAATGCACAGAAAGGACTTTTAAGGTATACAATAAAAAGTTTGAAAGCAGGGATTGAGGATTGTCGCTCCTAGGAATCTTTAAAGACATATTGCAACATAGAATGCATATATAAAAGATTTAGATATTTGAGTCCCTTAGGATTATTAAGGGGATGTAGGCTATCTGTTGTAAATTAAGGGGAAATAAGTTTTTATTCTCTGATCTATTTGTAAATCATACAATCTTTTGTTTTAAAATGATCAAAAGCAAGAATTTATGGTACAGTTATTAGATTTGTTTTTTGCAGCTGAGCTGTTTTTAAAGATGCAGCTAACAGTCAAACCTCAGAAGAGGGAATATACAGTACAGGTTGAATTTATATTTTATTGAGTTTTAAACCCCTTTCAATTGGTTTAAGTATGTGTTTAGTGGGGGGGGTGTGTGTGTGTGTGTGCGCGCACGCGCGCGCGCTTTGTTGTGTTTTTTTTTTTTATAGAGCTAGCTCTATTTTACCAAGTAAATTTAAATTTAAGAATAATAGCACAAATGGATTTAGGAATGAAGGGTATGTTTACAGAAATTCTTGGAAGTTATTCCATAAAACTTCAGCCTCTTGAGGCTTGTTCTATTTTTCTCATCTTTCCTTTTGGAATTAACTGTAATAGACATATAAGAAGACATATTTGGACTACTTGTTAGAGACATCTTTTTAGGACAGATAGCTTAGCTCAGTTGGTTAATTGAAAAATATTCTTTATTTTGGTTCTCTGGTTTGTGGGAATCAGTGCATTTGCATAGATCTGGAGTTAACATTCAAGTATCTTTAATATAAAGGAAAATTATCCTTGTTGGTTTGGTAACCATTCTTTCTAAAGATTTAAAAATTTTTACCTGCATAGTGAAAGTTTTTATCTTGTTTTGTCATTAGCCATATCTGGTAAAATTTGGAAATGTATTTTCATCTAATTTTCAAACAAAGATTACTATAATTAGTATTTGAAGGAATTGTGTAGTGGGACCATTTGGAGATAATTGGTGTTTTATATATAATGTAGTAATGTTTGAATCTTTTCATATTGGATAATAGACTGTGGTATTTGTCTGACATGGCCTTTTGATTATTCTAATAATTAGGTTTTGAATGAAATGAAAGATTGTTGCATTTGTAATGTTAGACAGTACTATGAAGAAAGTCTCTTTTGATCCTCATTTTGATCTTGGCAGATAGAACAGATAATATCTCTTTTATAGTTTTACAAATGAGGGTTAATTTACTTACTATTTAAATTGAACAAATAGTGACAACCGAGTCTAGACATTAGTCCCTTCTAATAATTGTATATGCTGTTACAGATGAAACATTAAGCGTATTGAAAGCTTATATGTTGGTATTTACGACAGCACAAGTTTAAAGGGTGAGTTTGCTTAATGTTTTTACCTAACTTTCTCCAGTGGCTACATTTTGCCTAATTATAGTACAGTTTCAAAGCCAGGGCACTGACATTGATACATTGTATGTGTATAACTAAATTATCATATGTTAAGAGTTTCACTTTTAAAAATAAATTTTAATGTGAAAGCTTGCCAAATTTTTACTAGGAAGAAGCCATTTTTCTCAAGTTAAGGTCTCACATTCCGAAACTTGTTTTCAAAGCAACTCAGAAATGTTATACAGAATCTAAAATTTGGATTTTAATACCAT